GGAGACGGGGGACTGGGGGAGGGAGGGCTCGGTGACGGAGGAGATGGGGGACTGGGGCTCGGCGGTGAAGGAGACGGGGGACTGGGGCTCGGTGGTGAAGGAGACGGGGGACTGGGGGATGGAGGGCTCGGTGGTGAAGGAGACGGGGGACTGGGGGAGGGAGGGCTCGGTGAAGGAGGAGACGGGGGACTGGGGCTCGGTGGTGAAGGAGGAGACGGGGGACTGGGGCTCGGTGGTGAAGGAGACGGGGGACTGGGGGATGGAGGGCTCGGTGGTGAAGGAGACGGGGGACTGGGGGAGGGAGGGCTCGGTGGTGAAGGAGACGGGGGACTTGGGAAGGGAGGGCTCGGTGGTGAAGGAGACGGGGGACTGGGGGAGGGAGGGCTCGGTGGTGAAGGGGGAGAAGGTGGCGAAGGCGGCTGGGGTTGCATGTAGCTGAAGGTGGAGGTTGTAGTCAAGTAGGTGTTATCCATGAAGCTGATAGATACGACACCTGAGGTAGGGGAGGTGGCACTAGGGGTCCAGCTGAAGGTCACTGTTACAGGTGCGACACCGCTGGTGGGTGTGGTTGTGAGGGTGGCTTCAGACGGCAAGGTGCTGCTTGAGGCTGTGATTACATCACCAGCATTGGGGTCCGTCACAGTAAACACCACCTGCATATACACACGTGTTAAGCAATGCGCGTAAGGCCCAGGCAACGCCGAGTTAAGCTGGTGCAAATGTAACATCTAATGGAGTGCTCATCAGAACTGATGTCTCGCTAGAATCTGAGCTGGGAGAGATAAGGGGAAGAGTTACATACAGGTGGGGTTTGATAAGCTGTGGGTAATCCACGGAAGGGGGCGGGTTGGGTTGTCCAGGGGTTATGGAGGGAGTAAGGGCGGGTTGGGTAGGGTAGCGGGTGGGTAATGCCTGCACAGGGGTTTACTGACCTTTCCATGCCATAGGGATGTATACCAAGATGTGAGGTACCATAAGGAGCAAGGAACAAGGTAAAAAGGAAAAGAAAAAAATTTACTCAAGAGTTCAGATGCAGATATCTGTCTGAGACTCTTATCTGTGTTGCCATTTTCCGATATTGATGGACCTGGAATGTGACTGAGTCCCATACTGTAGTAGCTGGTACACAGTATGGCACACATAACGTCTACAGATACACGCTAAAAGTGCTCCACCAGCATCTCGAGAGGCCTTTTCGGTGGCCAGCTACTACACATACACAGCTTGGCGGGTGGTAACATGCCCAGTGTCAGGCCTGGTCAGATACTTGTAACCTGGATACATACACATACACACACAAACTCATTCATTCTCTCTCTTAACCGTTGGCATATGCTGATATGCAATTCATGCAACACAGCCACGTGCATACACCAGCGACGCACAATGTAACAGCAGTGTTTTTGCGCCATACATGTCATGTGTGATCACTGCATGTCATGTTTATGCTTATCCAAGTACGTCCATCCGCAAACACGGGAAACAAATGATCAAACGGGCAACATGCCTAAACATGTCGGAAATAGACATGCATGCATCGCACCGTGATAGGTGTCCCCACGTAGACGATGATGTTTCCACCGTATTGCGGCAGCACCTGACCAGTCTCCGAAACAGTGATTGAGGAGACCACAGGCTGGTTGCTCAAGTCCGCCAACATCTGCACATACGCAAGCAGCGTGTGATAATCGTGAATACAGGCAGGGAGGAGTGGGAATAGTAAGGCAGTGCTAGCTTAATTTTATGCCGCATTAGGGTTTCTACTCATACTATGGTAGGGCTGCCTGTGGCTGCGTTTCGGATCCATGAAACAGTAATGGATGAGTGCGTGACATAGATTTTCGACCCACTGTCCAAGTTGTTATATCACACGACTTTTCCAGAAAAGAAAAGAACCGGACGGTGGATGTAGATCCCATGATACGCCCCCCTGGACACTACACAAGGGTAGGAGGAGGTGGGTGCAGGCTGCTGGTGTGTGGCCAGAACCCGGGAGGGCCCCAGGCGGTCCAGCCCCTTGAGAAGGGGGACTGTCGTAGCTGTCGTACAGTATGCCACACACCATCAGTACATATACGCGCTAGAGCGCGCTCCCAGCATCTAGAGAGGCTTTTTTTCGCGGCTTGCTACGTAGCAAGCTGTCTGTGCATGTGCTAGCGCTGCTGGTGTGTCTGTGCATAGTATACTATACCGGTATAGTATACTATACCGCCGGCATAGCGCTAGCACATGCACAGACACACCAGCAGCACATACATACAGACGCAGGTGGCTGGCAGAGGTTAAGGATCCATCTTGTGGACGGTGTAGGATGTGAAAAAATCAACTTGCAAGCTGACCTGGAACTAAGTTGAGGCGCCGTTATTCCGCTGCATCTGGTTGGATGCTGGTGATGAGTTGCCAAACCCAAAGAGTACACTTTGAAGTCGGATGGGGTGAATGGATTAGGGTGCCCCTCTAGCAGGGGAGAGCAGGGAATTGCCTCGGGAAGGAGGCCACTGGTGAAGCTGTACCACCCTGTAAAGGCGCAAATGCCAATCTGAGCATCTCGGGTTACGCCTTTGCTGTGTTACACACCCTGTAACAACAACATACATACGCACGTGTGCACACACAAAGGTATACAAACATGTACACAGGTTTGCGTACACAACGCACCAGAAGGAAGGTGATGTCAGAGTAGTGTCCCGTGGACGGTTCAGTTATCCGAAGTCCAACAGCAGTCATGCTGCCAGGATTGTAGTCAAAGTTGCGCCATCCAAGACTGCCGTGTTCGCCGTAAATGGAGCATGCAAACATCATCATAATGCAGCGTGACCAAGAAGTAGGTATCAATCCTTAGAAATGGTGCAGAGAAGTGTTATGTGCTAAAAGGGTAGTACACGAATTGGATTCGAGTTTTAGGAAGAGATAGATGCAATCAAGCAGTAATGCGATCGCGAGCGAGTGGCTAGTCGCCCAATTAGCTACCTGCCTTGCTACCTATGCTATGCTAACCCGTACAAACGATGCAGTAGCTTACTGTGTGCGCGAACAATTTTGGATATTCGTTCCTTGCACGGTGACACATGCACGGCGACACAATGTCCCTACACCACTAGACTCAGCAGACAGGGAAACAGAAGAAATTGTGTGATGACGAAATAATATTGCTGGCCAGTACGGCCGCGGTACATTCAACATGTAAAACTTCTCATGTCTGTCTAT